TCCACCCGCGCAGTCGCCGCGCCGCACCTGCTGCGTGCGCTTCTCGTGGCGCTTCTTGAGGATGAGGGGCTTGGGCAGCAGCATCCAAGGCACCGCCACAAAGGCCACCAGCAGCAGGAAGACCTGCACCTGTGCCTGCCCGGCAAACAGCTGGTTCTCGGGGCACGCGCCGCCGCAGTCGACGTCGCCGGGCTGCGGAGGAGGGGGGGGAGAGGGGAGCAGGCGCAGGGGTGTGCACGTGTGTGTGGGGTATGTGCGTGTGTGTGTGCGTGTGCGCGAGGCAGGGGTGAGGCAGGGAGCAGGGGGAGGGGGGGGCAGAGCAGAGCACACCCCTGGTGGCGCCAGCCCGCGGGCCTCCCTCCGCCGGCGCAACCGCAGCCGGCGGGGGGCGCCTCCCCTCCCCGCCACCCCTCCCCTGGCGACTCACCGACAGGAACATGTAGATGAGTGTGTGGTAGAGGTCTGCTGTGGAGCCTGTGGCCCACTTCATGACGATGAGGATGCAGAGGTAGCCAAACAGGGCGTTGAGGAAGATCATCTGCGGACAGAAGGGCGGCGGAAGGCGGGGGGTGGGGGCAGCAGGTGCAGGGCGGGCTGGCGGGTGTGCGAGGCCTGGCAGTGTGTGCGTGTGCATGTGTGTGGGGTGTGTGGAGGGGTGCGGCCCCGAAGAACGCAGCTGCCCTGGTGCCGGGCAGGGCTGCGGCAGCCGGGCCGGAGCCGCGGCCCGCAGCATGATTCGACACTGTATGGCGCCGCCAGCCACCACCCCCCACACACAACCCCCGACCACCCCCGACCACCCACCCCCGTGGCCCCCCACCTGTGGTATGAACTCGCACACCGTGGACAGCATGTCTGAGAAGTAGCGCTGGTTGAAGAAGGACAGGATGATGCCCGCGTTCATCTGAGGGGAGGGCGGGGGGGCGCCGCAGGGTGAGGGAGGTTGAGAGAACGAGGCCAGGGGCAGGCGCCATAAACACAAGGGAGGGTTGTGCAATCGACCCCCCCCAGCCTACCCGCCCGCCCGCCCGCCAGCCTGCCACCACATGAACCCATGCCTGCCAACAAGCCTGCCGCCACACCAACCCCGCGCCCCACCCGGCCCCCATGCCCACCTGCACCACCCCCATCAGGATGCTCATCTTCATCTTGACAGAGTTGAGGAACTGCAGCTCGGTGCGGGTGCCGTGCCAGGCGGGGTCCACGCCAAACACAAAGGGGCTGCCGGGGGTCTGCGGGGGGCGCACGGGGGGGTGGGCGGCGGGCGGGGCGGGGCGTCAGCCAGCACCCTTCCAGCCACCCGCCAGCCGCCCACCCACCAACAAGCACCCGGCTGCGCCGCCGGCTCCCCTGCTCGCGCCGCCTTCCACCATGCCACACCTCTCCCTCCCACCACCACGCCGCCCCAGTCCCCTCCCCACACCCGCACGCCGCCCACCCAACCCACCGTCATGTCCAGGCCGGTGGTGAAGGCGGAGGGGCACAGCTCGGGCTTCATCTGGATGGCCACAGCATCGGTCAGCTTGTGGTTGGTGGCGCAGGCAAAGCGGGTGGTGCCAAACAGGGTGGTCACTGCGGGGGCGGGGGCAGAAGGCGGGGGAGGGGGCGGCGGGGTGAGGGCAGGGCGAGGGCAGGGGGCCCCGGCAGGAGGGCGAGCCAGGCTGAAGGGGACAGGGCGCAGCAGGCTGCAGCATGCGCGAGCATGGCTGCGAGGGGCGGGAAGGGCCCGTCCCCTTTGCTCAGACGTGGCCCCAGGCGCAGCCCGCCGCCCGGCGCGGCAGGCACGCCTGGCCCAGGGCCCACCAAGCGCATTTAACTCACCTACTGAGAACATTTCGTTGTAGATGAGTCCTGTGTAGATGGAGAAGAGAGACATGAGCAGGATGATGTAGCGGCCGCCAAACATCATGCCCAGGATGTCGCCCAGGTCCTGCTTGGCCATCTGCCGCTCGCGCAGCACCTGCGGGGCGGGGAGGGGGGGCAGGGAGGGAGGCGGGGGAGGAAGGGAGGAGGGGGAGGGGAGGGAGGCACGAGGGAGGCAGGGAAGGAGGGAGGGAGGAGGTCAGCAGGCACGGGCAGAAGGGGCAGAGGCACGGGGGCCTGGGAGGAGGCGAGGAGGTGACGCCGCCAAGCAGCGCAGCGGCTGCATGCACGCAACCAAGCTACGAGGCAGACCAGGGGCCTGCCTGCCACCCGCACCACTGCTGCCACCGGCACCGCTGCTGCCACCGGCACCGCTGCTGCCACGAGCTGCCGCCGCCGCTCACCAGCACGAGGGCGAACATGAGCATGAGGAGGCCGTGGCCGATGTCGCCAAACATGACGGCAAACAAGAAGGGGAAGGAGATGATGGTGAAGACGGCGGGGTTGGCCTCGCGATACCGTGCGATGCCTGCGGTACGTGGCAGTGTGCGGCGCAGTATCAGTATCAGGCAGGGGGCTGAGGTGTGGAGAGGTGCGAGCATGGCAGCCGATTTTGGTGGCATGGCGGTGGCATGGCCCCTGCCGGCTCCACCGCCTGTGCCTCTATAGCCCTGACGCCCACCCACCCACCACCTGACGCCCAACCAAACCACCCAAACCAGACACACACCCCAAATAGCCCCGCCAGCCTCACCCAGACCCTCTGACAACAAAAACAAACAAAACAGAAACGAATAAAAAAAGGGAGGCTCACCGTAGGCATCCACGATGTCCTGGAAGGCCGCCGTCTGCTTGGCGGTCTGGTGGTACGTCGGCGGCGGCTCGTACGTGATCATGGGCTGGAAGACGGTGCCGACGGGGGAGGCGGCGCGCGCGGCCGCCGTGCGCAGCGCGTCCTGCACCCGCACCTTGGCCGCCACCGGCACCCAAGCCTCCGCCACCAGTACCTTGCGCGTCACATCCACGCTGAGCTTGTTCAGGGTGTGGTAGATGCCCTTCTCGCGCCGCACCTGCGCGCACGGGGCGTGGTGAGGGCATGTGTGGGTGTGAAGGGGAGTCGCGGGAGGGCAGAGGCAGAGGCGGAGACTGAGGTTGTGCTTCGGCAGCACAGCAAGAGGCCAAGGTGCCCAGGCAGGCGGCCACAGCGGCGGCACCAACAAGCAGGGGCAGGCGGTGCCGCCGCGGGTGCAGGCGCGGGTGGGCAGGGTCCGGCGGCGGCGGGCCACGACCCTCACCTGCACGCTCCAGGCATCCAGGTTGAGCGCGATGGCCTGCAGCACGCCCTCACGCAGCCGGTCCCCCGCCTCCAGCGTCGTGTGCAGCTCCCGCAGGCGGCCGTTGACCTGCGGAGGGAGAACCAGGCAGCAGGGGGGCCAGAGGGCAAGGGAGAGGCTCGTGAGGGGATCAGCAGGCAGGCCGGCGGGAAAAGGAGGCGGCCTCAGAACCCTCAGCCTGCCGCCTCGAAGCCGGCGAGCCAGCCCGCGCGCTCCCAGGCGCGCTCAAGCCACCCGCCCACGCTGCGCTGCCGAGCCAGCCGCCAGCGCACATGCCCTGCCGAACGCCACACGCCCACGCACGCCCAACCTGTGCAACAGACGCCTAACAACCCCAGGCCCCCACCTCTGCGTTCATCTGGCGCTGGCGGGAGAGGTCGTCGGGGAAGGGGTAGCGGTTGGCGGAGAAGGCCTCGCAGATTTTGAGGATCTTCTGGCGCGCGCGCTCGCCCGCAAAGAACACCACAAACACCGCCTTCTCCTGGCGCTCGCCCGTGGCGGGGTCCGCTACGGAGCCGACCTGCGTGCGTGTTGTGGGTGGGTGGGTGGGCAGGGCAGGGGGTGTGCGGGGGTGGGTGGGCGAGGGACGGCGGGCGAGGCGGCACGGGCCGGCGTGCGGGATGCAGGCGGAACTAAGGGCCCGCATGCCTGGTCCCCTCCCCAGCCCAACTGAGGAGCACACACCACACCCCGCCCACAACCACCAAACACTAGACACAGGCGCGCGTTTCTTTCATTCTGTCTTTCTTTCTTTCTTTCTTCGGCAGTCTCCCTCTCACCGGCGTGAACTTGAGGAACATGTTGCCGCGTGTGGCGCGGAAGAGCAGGCGCTCAAAGGGCGCCAGCTTCTCGACCGGGATGGTGCCCGCCACAAACCCCAGCTGCACCGCCTTGGGCTCAAACGCCTGCGCGCTCTCCAGCAGCGGCGCACCTATGTCGGGGGTGACGGCGCCTGGGGGGGTGGGCGTCAATTCGGGGGGGAGGGGGGGCACGGGCAAGGCAGGAGGCGGGTCAGCGGCCGCGGGCGGGCGGCCGGGCAGGCAGGCAGGGCAGGGAGGCGGGCTGGAGGGCGAGGCGCCGGGGCGGCCGCGCGGCCCGGACAGAAAGGAGGCTGCGCAGGCGCAGGAGGCGGCGGCAGCGGCAGCACCGCCAGCGTCCCAGGAACAGGCAGCCGGCGCCGGCAGCGGCAGCACCGCCAGCGGCACAGGCACCAGAACAGGCAGCGGCAGCCGGCGGCGGCGGCGGCTCACTGTCGGAGTAGGCGGCGGTGGCGCTCTCGCGCTGTGCGCGGTCGGCTGAGGAGCGGGCATCCTCAAAGAAGGACGCCGCCCGCTCCAGCACCAGCTGCGGCAGAGGAGGGAAGAGGCGACGGGCAGGCGGCGGCAGCAACACACGTCGTCAGCCACACCTGCCAGGCCACCACCACCACCTGCCGTGCCGCGCCGAATGCCAGCGGGCCCCCCACAAAGCCCAGGCTGCAGCAGCCGACAGGGCGCAAACCGGCTGACTGTAGCGGCCCCAGGAGGCACCAGCCGACGCCCCCGCAGGCGTGCTAGCAATCCCCCGCGCCCAGCAGGCATACTAGCACCCCCCGCAGGGCCCCTGCAGCCCAGCGGCCACCCCTCCCGCCGCACCTGCAGCTCCAGCAGCTCGTTGTGGGAGCGGTGCAGGCGGTCGGAGTTGCCGTTGAGCTCCAGCAGCTCCCCCTCCAGCTGCGCCAGCTTGGCCTCCAGACCATCAAAGTCCAGCGCACCCTGCGGGGCGGGGGGGCGGCGGCGAAGAGCAGGGGAGGGGCAGGGGAGGGTTCAGGCGGGGAGGCGACGATGATGATGGCATGTGGGCACACGGCGGAGCCTGATGCAGAGGTGCAGCGCGGCGGCGGCGGCAGCCCTCCCCATGCAGCAGCAGAGACTGCACACAGAAGCACACACACACGCGCACACACACACAATCACACACGCACATGCACACGCGCGCGCGCGCACACACACACGCACGCACGCACGCACGCACGCACGCACAGAAACACGCGCTCAAGCACCTGCTCGGAGGAGAGGCGGGGTGCGACGGGGATGCCCGCCTTCTCCACCTCCGCGGTGAAGAAGCGCAGCTGGCGCGCCATCTCGTCGCACCGCTTGATCTGCGGCAAGGGGCGGGGCGCGGCGGCGCGGCAGTGAGGCGGACGCCGCACAGCAGGCAGGGCACGCAGGCCGGGGACGGCGCGGGGGGACGGCAACGCCTCTTCCTTTGCGCCTGACTCGCAGCCCCGCCGTCGCCATGCCGCCACCCGTGCGCCTCCACCTCCCGCCTCCAGCAGACATGCCCCCCATGAGAACAGCAGCCGCCGCTGCCTCCCGCCGGCCAGCACCCACCTGGTTGGCGTAGGTGCGCTGGAAGGCGGTGCGGTCGGCGTTGAGGTCCTTGAACTGAAGCATGCCCACCTCGCCCAGCGCAGCCACCGTGTCGTGGGCGGCCTCGGCCGGGATCATCAGCTGCGGGAGGTCCAACGGAAGGAGGGTGGCATGGTGCGAGGGTTTGGGGGGCAGCAGCGAGCCGCCGCGGCGGGGCGGCTAGGGCAAGCGCCGCCCCATGATCTGGGGGGGCTGCGATCGTGCCTCCTGCGGGCCCACCTGGCACAGCTGCATCTCCTCGCTGCGGAAGAGCTCCATGATTGCGGCTCCCCCTCGACTCCAGCCACGCCGCGCCTCGAACACCCTTGCTGAACCGCGGTCAGGGTCCTCGGTCGGCAGGCTCCAGTCTGGAGGCGGCCTGTGTTCCACGTCCCAGGCAAGGGGAGACGCGGAAGCAGGGGACTGGCGCTTGGGGGTTCTCCTCCTGACGTTTTCTGTGCTGAAGGAAATGGTGCCTGGTTCTAATACACGCCCTACGCCATGTACTGAGAAGACGCTGGCGGGCTGGATGGGGCGAACCAGGCCAGTTGGCGCCCGCAGACGAAAACCCTGCTTTCTTGCGCCCCAGATCAGCCTGTGGCGCGCTGTTTGGCTGTTTTGGCCGCCCTGACAGCCTGCCACAAGCATTGATCGCCAGCAGGGGGCCTGCACGATAGTTTCCCGCCAGTGGGAGGCCAACCTCCTCTGCTCCCCAAGCTCTCGGGGCCTCCACACCGGTCCCCGGAGCCTGCCGAGCCTGCCGACAGCCGCCGCTGATCGCCGCGCAAGCCTCGCACAGCGCAACAGCTGCCGCCGGCGTCGCCCACCCCTCCCGCCCGCCGCTCCCCGCCGGCACCGCTCCCCGCCACGCACGGATGGCGGCAGCGGTGGCGGCCGCCGCCGCGCCCCGCTGCTGCCTGACCAGCCCTGCCAACGACTACCTGACCCGCCAGGGCGTGGCGGTGTCCCTGGTCAACCACCGCCTGCGCCAGGCGGTGTGCCCGCCGCCAGCTGTGCATCTGGACCAGGCGCAGGCGGTGCACGCCTTCCTGCTGCAGCAGCAGCGCCTGCGCCGCATCTCCAGCGCCGCGCTGGTCATCGAGTCCACCCCTGAGGCACTGTGCCTGGACGTGCAGGGCCAGCTGCGCCCGCTGCTGGCTACACTCAAGGAGCTAGGAATGTCGCAGGTGCGGCCGCCGCCAGTCCCAAGTCTAAGCGTGTTCTGGGAGGACAGAGCCTGCGCTGCACGGCGGCAGGCAGGCCGCTTCGACCGTGGCGTGGCCCCGCAGGGAGGGGTGCTGCCCTGCCGCGCGGCGGCGGCGCCTGTTGCAGGGCGGCGTGTCTGTTGCCGCCGCGGCCACACCCAGCCCGCCTTGTCGCCGTGCCCCGCCGCCCACAGGAGCAGACGACGTCTGTGTTCCGCGCGCTGCGTCGGCACCGCCAGCAGGCCGCGCAGTTCCTGGCGCTGGGCCCGCCCGAGCTGCGCCGCCGCTTCTTCTGGCTGACGCAGCACTTGGCGCTGGAGGGCCCGCCCGCCGCCGCCTACCTGGCCGCCCAGCCCAGCCTGCTGCTGGCTGACCCCGCACAGGCTGCCGCGGTGGTGGGTGGCGCCGCCGATGCCGGGCTGCCTGGTGCCCCGCCGTGCCGAGCCTTCCGTTACGCCCTGCATGCGCGTCAGCAGGACCCCAGTCCTGCCTTGACCGGGGCAGTGCCAGCGGCGTGGCCCCGCAGCCTCGGCTCAACCTGCCGCTGGGCTGGGCGTGTGTGTTGTGCTGGGCTAACCACTCGGTACGCGTTGTGTGCTGCGCCTGCCGCCGCAGATCCGTTGGCTGTCCGGCCTGAGCTGGCGGCGGCTGGCGCTGCGCCGCAACCTGGCTGCGTACCCAGCCATCCTGCTGGCACCCGCGGCGCAGCTGGAGGCGGCGGCGCACCTGCTGCAGGCCAGCCTGGACGCCTCGGTGGACGAGCTGTGCCTGCTGCTGGCGCTGGCGCCGCGCCTGCTGGCGCTGCCGCCGCAGCGGCTGGCCGAGGCAGTGGTGCGGCACCCCACCGCCTGGCAGCTGGCGGCGCACCACATGGACCGCCCTGCCATGATGATGCGGCACGCGGCGGTGAGGGAGGCGGCCGCGCCGCTGGGGGCGCGCTTGTGCTCGGCGCTCCCGCTGGCCCTGTGCTGCCGTGGCGTGCCGATGGGTTGCGGTGCTGCCTCGCTGCCCTGCCTCACCCCCGCTGCCTGCCTCCCTGGTTTCCCCTGCCTCCCGCGTGACGCCCCCTGCATGGTGCTGGGCCTGCTGGGGTGCAGGAGGCGCTGCACGTGCAGGTGGCCACGCTGTACCTGATGCGCCGCCACAACATGAGCCGGCAGCAGGTGGCGGAGCTGGCGAGGGAGAGCCCCACGCTGCTGCGTGGCCTCAAGCTGCAGTAGCGGGCCTGCGATGCACCCATGCCTCGTGCATCCACCATCCCATCTAATCCTCCTCCCTTGTACACACCTGGCCGGCTGCTTCCCTCCCTGCTTGGCATCTCTGCATCTACGCATCCCATCCTCGGCTTCCTTGTACATCTGCCTGACCTGCCTCCTGACGGGTCAGGCGGCATCCCATTTCATCACTCATCCTGTTCGATGCGGGGGCAGCTATATCGCCGACCTGCTGCTCTGCGCCCCCCATCACTTGCCACAAAACTGTACCATCGGACCCTGCCGTATGTTTCTGTTTCTTCAAGCGCCGCCTGTACTTGTCCCATGTATCTGCAACGCATCCCGGCCTCCATACGCGCCCTTTTCATGGACCCTGCCTGCTCCCGCACCTGTCATCTTTTCATCTGTCCTGCGGCCAAATCTGTGCCCCCCCTGTAACAACGAGGTGTCGGCTTTCTTGGTTAGCAGCCTGTGCATTGCAGACGAGGCAATAGGTTCAGGTCAAATGGTAGCCAGCTGCTCCCCAACTGCCGCCCGCCGCCACTTTCCCGCCCATGCATGGCCATGGCCATGGATCCATGCATCATGCGCGCATCCTCCTTCAGCGCTCCCGCAAACATGTCCTACACCTCCTTTCGATGTGGCGACTTTCATGACTCTTTCTGGACAGGTCCGGGTACGCGTGCTGCTGGGAGTTTTGGGTGCGCTTCTAGTGACCAACCCCGCTTCCGGTAAGGCTTCAATTGAGTGTTATGTACTGCCCCTACACGTTCAGTTGGAAGTGTATCAGTCCCAGCTGAGGTGCAAGCCGCGCAACTCTCTCGTCATGCGGCTCTTCAACCTTTGCGCAAATGCCTCCCCCCCCCCGCTGCAGGAGCCTCGCAGGTGAAGTGGAAGCGCGTGGAGGGTGGCCACGCCCCGGAAGGGGCTCGCACGGATACATCCGCCCCTGCGCCCGCCGACGCCGACGCCGCCCCCCACTCATTCGCCGCTGGCTGCCACATCCCTTCCCTGCTGCCGCAGTGCAGCAAACCGGGCAGCAGATGCAAAAGATGCAATGCATCGGGTGTTTGTGTCGCCTGCCGCACTGGATACACGCTTGATGCTGGCAGCTGCATCTCCTGCGCCAATTCCCTCGAGGGACAGCTCTGCGCCTTCCCTTCATGCCCGCCCCGTGCGGAGCAGTGCACGCAGTGCAAGACGTCCGTCGGCATCGGTGGCCACTCAAGCGCGTGCAGCACCATCACGCTTGGAGTGTACAAGAATGCTCAGGGCGCCTGCCGGAAGGTGGGCCAGCCAGCAAGAGTGCGGCCAGCCTGCCTGCCGTGCCATACCTGCCTGTCTGCAAACATTTATTGTTCATGCACCCTGTCCCCATGCAGTGCCCACTCCCGTGTGCTTCCTGCGATCAAACTGGGAGGTGCACCGACTGCACAGGCGCAGTTAACTGCTCTGCGTGCGGGCTGTCTGCCACGCCATGGGGCTATAACCCCGACTGCAGCCAGTGCGGGCGCTTGCTCAAGGGCGGCAAGTGCGTGAGCTGCCCCCCGCTCTGCCTCACCTGCGCAAGCCCCACCGTCTGCACCAAGTGCCTGGAATCCATCTTCTACAACCAGGGCCACGGGAGGGGAGATCTATATGCAGTCTACTTGGATGCCAAGGGGTGGTGCCGGGAGTGCCGCCTGCCGGGCTGCAGCCGCTGCAGCCCCTCCAACACCACCCGCTGCCTGGAGTGCGCCGCCGGCTTCTTCCTGCTCGATGGGCAGTGCAAGAGGTAAGTGGGCCGGTGGGTGCCATTTGGACCCGGTCTGGGCATGTTCACGCCGCTGACAAAAAGGTCCTGCTGCAGCAGGCACAACTGCTGCCTGTTGGCACGTGGCAGCACTTGCGCGGCAGTGCTAGACTGGACTGGACAACTGGACTTGACTGGACAGCAGCGCATGTGCACTGCGCAGCCTGAGCCATGGCCCGCACCCCTCCTGCTGTCTGCAGTTGCTCTGAAGTCATCCCTGACTGCATCAGATGCACGCTGGGCCGGGGCGGCGCTCCGGTCTGCATAGCATGCTACTCGACTCCTCTGGACCGTGCCACCGGCAGATGCGTGGCATGCAACGACCCGCTTTGTGCAGAGTGCCCTGCGGGTCGAAACATCTGCAATCGTTGCAAGTATTCGTATGAGGAGCCAGGGACGGGGTCTGACCTGCAAGTCTACGAGGCAGCCAACGGCACGTGCCAGACATGCCCAGCAGGGTGCAACCAGTGCGCCCCCAACGGCTCCTGCCAATCATGTGAGGATGGATACAAGAAGGCAGGCGGCCGGTGCACAAAGTGCAAGTATGAGAGTCAGTGTGTTAGGTGTGGAGACGGCTGCAAGACCTGCTCCCCCGATGGCTCAGCATGCATCAAGTGCAGCGTCAGCATATGGGGCAGGGACACCAAGTGCAGACGGGTGAGTGAGCACATATTTGCTGCATGACCATGGTTGCTGGTTGCGCATGGGTACGGCTATGCCTCAGGCCACTGGTCTTAAACACGGGGCGCCCTGCTTCCCCCATGCCGCGTGCGTTGCAGTGTCGTTTCACCGGAGCTAAACACTGCATGTCGTGCTCCAGGTGGGCAGGCTCCTGGGTGCCCAGCCGCCTTCTGCATGCGCCACGTCGCCGCTCCTGCCTGCCCGATATGGATTGCTATCACGAGCGCCCGCTCAGCTTCCCCATATGCCCCAAACCACCATCGTTCTTCCCTCCCCCTGCCTGCCACAGAAACTACCTCAAGTGCAACCCCGGGCAATGTGAAGACCCGTTCTGGCGCGATCGGCTTGGGCGCTGCCGCAACTGCACCACCAGCGTCGCCCACTGTGCTGCCTGCAACGACGGCACCGGCGCCTGCTCCGCGTGCGAGTATGGCTACGGCCTGCACAGCACCGCGGCCGGCGGCACCACATGCCTGCCGTGTGAGAAAGCATGTGGGGATTGCCGAGCCGGCCCAAAGTGCGCAGGCTGCGTGGGAGGGTATGCTCTTGCAAGGAACGGCACGTGTGTGGCATGCGTCGACAAGAACTGCGTCACCTGCTCGAGCGCCAAGACCTGCACCAGCTGCGCCGCCGGCTTCGAAGCAGTTGCCGGCAAATGCACTCCCTGCGCCGATCCAAACTGCGGCGACTGCTCTCGCGATCTCAAGACATGCTACGCATGTCGCGACGGCCATGAGTTCGAGCGCGATGTGTATGCCACAACTCGCGGCAGGTGCCAGCGATGCCAGCCCCAGAACTGCCGCTGGTGCGCAGACCCCTGTACTGGCGCCCTGGCCCGATGCACCGATTGCCTGGAGGGGTATCGCTTGGAGGCAGCCAGCAATGCGACCTGTGCAGCCTGCGCCACTGCCGCCGCCTCGGAGCCGTGCGACTGCCCCGCGGGCGACCTCGTCTGCCGGCGCTGCGCCGTCCTCAACTGCGGGGACTGCCGCGAGGGCGTGCACACCTGCTCAGCCTGCAAGACCGGCTTCTGGAAGGACGGGGATAGCAGCTGCGTGCGGGTGAGCGACCTGTGGCGCTCTTGCAACAACAGATGCCGATCGGCAGCCGCAAGACCTTGGCACTCCTGGCAGCTGAGCACTCGCCGCCCGCTCACCACCCCTGTCCCTCCTCCCTCCCCACAGGCCAAGGACCGCTGCCCAGCAGGATCCACATACAATGCAGAATGGGACTACTGCGAGATTGCGTGACTCACCAGCTCTGGGTGCTAGTGGTGCTGGACCTGCCAGCCTTGCTGTTTGCTGCGAAAGTCGGTCAGTCCCAAAATCCAAAATGCTCGCCTCTCTCCATCATTACATTCCATCTGTGCATGTATTTCCATTCAATCAATCATGAATCATGCTTTTTGTGTTACCTTTTCTGCTGTACACATCAACGTCACTGTCTTCGACTCTGCAACTCGATTTGGGGGCCTGGTGGGTGGGCTTTCTCTTGCTTCCCTCAGCGCTGCCTCCACCAGCAGGCGACAGCTCGCTAGCGCTGGCATCCCATGGGGGTCGATCTGTGCCGGCTCCGCGCCAGCTCAGCGGCCCTGCAGGAACAAGAGGCAAAGTGTCCATGTGCGATTGCTGCCTGCTGCTGATGATTTAGCCCGCCATCCTCCAGAGCAGGAGCTGGAGCAGGCGATGAATGGCAGCCAAGCGGCCGCACCTGGCCGCCGCCGCCGCCGGCGCTGGCGGAGGACCTAGCATTGGCATTGGCGCTGCCACCGCCGAAGGCCTGAGCGGCGGCGGAAGCGGTGGCCTGGGCGCGGGCCTGCAGGGGAGCCAGGTAAAGGGGCGGTGGGAAAGGCGCCGCGGGAATGGGCGGCAGGAGCGTAGCAACGTGGCAGGAGTCGGGGTGCCATGCCAGCAGCGTCGGGGAGGGACTTCGGCCCCGTTCTGGTCTGGTCTGGCGTAGCCATCCAGCCCCAGCCACAGCCCACCCGGGCGCCTCACCTGCTGGGGCACCTGCTCCACGGGGACATTGGTGGCCTCGGCGACCGCCTGGGCATTGGCCTGCAGGGCAGCGGGCAGGAAGGGGACCGTCGGTGGCGGCGCAGGCCACAATCGATCATGATGGGCAGGGCAGTGTTTCACAGCTCAGGCCGCTCGGCTGGCTGCAGGAGGAGGCGGAGCAGGAGGGGGCCGGGCATGGCAACCAGGCTGGTCCAACCGGCAGCAGCAGGGCAGCCCCGAGGCGAGGCCCTCTCCCGAGGCGCGCACCTCGGCAAACGCGGGGGCGCCAAAGACGCAGATGGGGATGGTGGTGCCAGCGGAGGCGGCAGCGTCGGCCGCAGCGGAGGCCAGGCCACCCGCGCCGGCCTGGGCCTCGGCGGCGGCGGACGCAAAGGCCTGCGGCGGGGCAGACGGCAGGGCAGGGGGGTGTTGGCAGGGTGCGAGTTCCACGGCTGTAGTGTGGGAGGCGTCTCCGGCTGCCCCGACACCTGCAGGCGGGGGCCTCCCTGCTGGGATCGGCAGGGCCTGGCTCCGCGGCGCCACAGCGGCGTGCCTGGGCGGCCTGGGTGCAGCACTGGTCACCGGCATTGGCCAGAGCCTCGGCGGTGGCCTCGGCCAGCGCCTCTGCCTGCCCGCCCGCGGCCTGGGCGGCGGCAAAGGCCTCGGCGATGGCGGAGGCGGCATTCTGCCAGTCCGAGCAGATGCCCTACCCTGTGTTACAGTCACCCCGCTATGATAGGCCGCGTGAGCAGACCTTGGGCAGGGGGCACACGTGATCAAGGGGCATCAAGAGAGGGGGTGGACCATGGAGCACCCTCTCCATGGCTCCGACCACCCTCCCCCCAGCTGAGCGTCCCAGGGTCACCCCACCCTGGCCCCGCTCCCCGTCCTGCCGGACACGCAACCCCCACAACGTGGTGGGGGACGTGGGGATCCTTAGCAGCTTAGGCCTGCCAGGCCGACGGGTGCCGATGCTGGTGCGGGCTCCCGGCGGCAGGCAGCGCCGCCGCCGGGCACTCAAATGGCATGGGGCACATGGGCCCCCATGCCCGCACATCTCCCAGGCACATGAAAATACCAGAAGGCTGCACATGTAAGGGTGCATGCATTGCAGGCAGGAGTGCAAAGTGGCCTGCCGCGGCGGTCGGCTGTGCCATTACTCAGTCAGCCGCCGCTACCGTGCCGGGCTTGGCGTTCCCATGCCAACATGCCGGCGTGCCATCGCGCAAGGGGCCAGTGAGTGTGTGAGGCGGAGGTGGGGGTGGTGGGGCTGCCGCTGACCGTGCTGC